CTATTGAACGGTGTTTTTTGGTATCTGTGACCTAGCTATTGAACAGTGACAGTTTTTTTTGGTGTCTGTGACCATTATTGGTGGTGGATTGGGATGGGAGACGCTTTTTTTGGTGTCTGTGACTTAGTTATTGAATGATTTTTTTGGTATCTGTGACCTAACTATTGAATAGTGACCATTTTTTTTGGGTGTCTGTGACTTAGCTATTTGACTGTGATCCACAAATTTTAAAATACATGACTTGTGACATATAATTTTTTTGATCTGTGACCAATAAAATTATATGTGACCCATCTATGTGGTAACTGTGACCTTAAAATTCATTACTCTGTGACCTTAAAATATAACCTGTGATCTATAGTTTTTTTTTTTTTTTTATCATTTTTGATCTGTGACTTCGAAATAATCTGTGGTCAAATTGCATATAACTGTGACCTTAACAATTGTCGGAATCGGAGCAATCGTCGGAATTAAGCAGCGGCAGAATGGTCACCGGAGTAGTCGCCGGAATTAAGTATGGCCGGAAAACAGTCTCCGAAGTAGTGCTTGGTGTTGGTGGTGGTGGTGGTGGGGCGGGGTTATAGACCCTTTCAGTGCTTATGCCTAGCATGCTTCTATTCGAAAATGTTTGTGCAATGATGAAAGTTCAACTAAAAAAGAAAAAATGCTCCGAAAGTACAAGAGCGTATTTTACAGGGGCCTGCCAGGTTACTCACACTGGCGGGCCCTACATGTTTTAAAAAAAATGGAAAAAAAATGCACCCCTCCCCCCTTGTATCAGTAGCCTGGCAGTGAAACCACCCACCCCCTGTACGTGAATCATCACTCCTAAAAAATCTACAAAGCAAAATAATGAATGCTAAAACCACGAAAATAGGAGAAAATTTATATATCAAAAATTTAATTATAATTTGAGAATAAATTATTTTATTCTTATAAATCTTATTCATTTCATAAGCGAGGCATATTAGAGCATATATCCTAATTATGAACAATGATTAAGTTCTAATCTTAAAAAGAAATGACATAAAAAATATTAATTAAATACATAATTATATAATATCAAGAAATTACAGTCTACATATTGAACTTGCTTAGTTCAAATAAAAAGGGAAAATTATATTTAGTGTGTGTTTGGTAGGGATTTTTTGGGGGAAGAATTGATTTTGAATAGTGATATGATGGAAATGTGTGGTTAAAAAAGAAGATAAGATTATTGATGTGATAGAAAATATTATTTTATTGAAGAATGTGTGGTTGAAAATGAGAATTGATTTACTGTTGAAAATGAGAATTGGTACCAAACATAGCCTTAGACAGAAAATCATGAATTTAAGAAAAGAAAACGTGTACACTATAGACCAAGCAATTAATATTTCAAATTAAATTATTAAAAAAAATTAAAAATCACTACAGTTTTTAATCAATGCAAGAAAGTAAAAATCTCGAACTGCAAAGAATGAACGCTTCGATATATCAACTTACACCATGACCTAACTTGAGCTTTTTATTCATAAAAAGTCAAATTTGTAAAGATGAATATGTAATAACATCTGAAATCCAACAATTAGATGTGAGATGAGAGTTAAAAAGTAGAAGACATACTTGATTTCTTAAGGTTAGAGTCTAGAGTTGTAGACTAATTATTACCCAAATTAGGATTTGGACAATGCTATATGTACTTGTACTTATAATAGGATGTGGGAACCACAAGGTAATGATTTTTTTATTCACGTGGGACTTGCGCACATGTGAGAGGAGTAGCGATGTCAACGAGCCCAAAAAAAAAGCTCGAGCCGAGCCCGATCAAAAAAAATGAGGTTATGCCCGAGCTTTTGGCCCGAGCCTTAGTAGGCCGAGCCGGCTCGAATTTTTTGGCATTTTTTTCTTAGCTGCCTGCAACAGGCAGCAAGCAAGCAGCTGCCTTAAAAAAAAAAATTTTTAATAGGAGGCTCTCCTGGGCCACGGGTCTACTCAGGCTCGAGCCGACTCCCCAAAGTGGGGCTCGGTTCCAAGCTGAGCCCGACTCGGGCTTTTTCCAGCCGAGCTCGAACCTCCGAGTTTTTTTGTCACCGCTAGAGAGGAGGGCACATTTTTGGTACAATATTTTCAGTACAAATGAATTTCCCCTTAGGATTTTTAGGTTTATATTTTTTTTACCCGACCTATATTTATAACTATTTTATTAAAAAAAATACAAAAATCGGTTCCACTCATGTACCAACGGTTTTGATTCAAGAATCGAACCGGACCCCGTCGATTATCGGTTCCAGTTCCTAATTTATTTTTTAGGGAACCAGTAGGTTTCGATTCGAAAGATTCGATTCTGGTTAAAATGCCCAAACCTAATGTTTAATTTTATTTAATACCGATACTACATAGGACAATAAACAAGAATTTAATTTATCTGTCCAATACTGTTTAGCTTATGAAACATGTTGTCAATGTCATCGATAAATCTTATAACATTATCTACTCACGCCCACCCCCTCCCCCAGGGTTTGGTGTCCATTATTATTATTTTTTTTTTAAAAAGGAGTTTTGAATAGTATTTTTAGGAGAATGTTTGGTTAAAAAATATGATTTTTTTTGAATTTACATGTACAATATTTTATTGTGTGAATGTAATTGAAAAATATCTTTTAGCAAAAAGAGTTTTAAAACAATGGCCACCAGGGCTTAATAACTTTCGATGATATCTTAATTGGATAGCAAGGTATTTAATATAATTTGATATAAATATTTTACTATCCATGTTTCTATGTTCTTCTTCTTCTTTCTTTCTTTTTATTTTTCCTCATTTCTTAAGTTTTTTATTTATTTTTATTTAACTGCTAACATTAGCTAAAATAAATATTTAAATTCGAAAATTTATAGAGATGGCAATGGATGAAGTCAAGGCGGGCGGTGCCGTGGTGGTGATGTCTCTACTTATTTATATAATATTAATATATTTTTTAAATATGATTTGACTTTTAAAAATATAAAATAAAATAAGAAATAATAATCGACCTGGCACCGTTGTGGATTTTTGGGCGACGGAACGAGGACAAGGCGGTGTGGTGGTGATGCATTTTACTTATTTATATAATGTTTATATATATTTTAAATATGATTTAATTTTAAAAATATAACATGAAATAAGAATAATAATTGAGACACGACAATGAGAGGCGGAGTGGGGCGAGTGCCGTCTCTAGCAGTTATAATATATTAAATTTATAAAGTTTTTATTGTAATACCATTAAGTATAATAAAGAATGAGTAAAATTTCTATTTATGGCCACTGAGGTGGGTACTCGATCGTAAACTTCAGGGTCCTGTGAGATTAGTCGAAATGCGAGCAAGCTTGTCCGAACATCCACGGTTATTAAAAAAAAAAAAAAAAGAACGAGTAAAAATCAAAGTTGTTGTAAATATAGTAGTATTTATGAATGATTACTATATCCCTGGGGCCTTAATTTTTATTATCATTGTATTTTCTAATTCTTATCTATAAATATGAGGTTTTGTTTTCAATAAAACACACACAAGTTTATTAATTTTTTTATTTTTTTCTCTAATTTATAATACATGACAAGTCTCTCAAAATCAAAGTGAATTAGTTAGAATATATTAATTTTTGATAAACATAATCATCTATCATGTGTATCAAAATTAATTTGGTAACTCTTGAATTTAAATAATGCTAGATGTATATTCAGTTTGATAGACCCCTCACATAGGAGTGAGGTCCGCGATTTTTAAAATTGGGCGCGGACTCCACCCTTATGTGAAGGGACTGTCACCCATGATGTACACCAAGGGTGTCTTGTACAATCTAGCAATTCCTGTCGAAATTTGTTTAAAAAATTCTGAAGCTGTCAATTCGTGCCACAATCATCACTTTTAATTCTGCATCATTACCTTAGTTTGGAAGCAATGAATTTTTGAATTTTTTGGACATTATGCATGATAATGTCAAATATGTGCATCTCCATTTAGTGATGAAAGAATGTATTTTAAATAGTGAT